ACCCTCTCTATAGGCAAATCTGCATCTAAGCGTTTTGTACATACAAGTAAGTGCCATCTTTCACCTTACCCTACCTCAGTGGGATACCAAAAAGCTTGTGGGGTTTTTTGCCCTCCGTCTTAATTGGATGATTGGTAAAGCACTACCTACAAGCAGGTGAAACATTCATTTCAATGCAACATTTAGGTCAATGCCTAGTGTTTGTGTTTCGTTTGCTGGGTGACCTTCAATACATACATCAAATTCAAGTAGTGCGTCGATCTGTTCCTGTAGTATGGGCATGCTCTTCAGCAGCTTTTCTGGAGCCATCGTTCTCATTACACCCTCAGCTCTGCAACAGGAAACACCGATTACAAGCCATGGTTTTCCTCCTCCACCTACCCCATCGATTTGTTGTCCGATCAGAAGATGAAAACTGCTGTAACTCTTTTCAATTATTTGTCTGGTTCAATATTGTCAAATTGAAAAATTTGTCTGGTTCAATATTTTCAAATACTGCCTGGTTCTCCTGCCTTCCACAGCACCGCAAGGGCTGGCATGGCAAACGCTTCAGCCAGCCACCCTCCCGAGCAGGAGACCGGGCAGGCTCCTGCATTGCAGTAATCAACACCAGAGTCCGACCTCTTTGCAGAAAAACAACACCAAGATTTTAAAAAACTTGACAAGAAATAATATTGCAGAAGTATATGCGACCGGCAGCCTTTATGCATGAACTTGAAGTATAACTGATGACAAGTCATTGCTAGCAGTACTTTTTAGACACGTTTGTGGTCACCAAAGCCAACTCGATAGGTTCTCTCCCGCAATTGCCACTGCGTAAGCTGCCAATCCAGCGCCAACAGGAGTCAGTGCCATCTTTGCCAAGAGCCCCTTAGCCTAGGATACTTTTCCGAGTAGTCCTTACTGGCTGTCCTACCCTCGGCCAGACCTCCACGGAGCCCGCCCTGCCTCGACGAGTCCCGAGCGGAGCAGGCCGCGGTCACAGCGCAGCGTTGCTCAGGTGCGGCCCGCACGTCTCAGAGCAGCCTTCGCGTGCCCCGGTCCGGGGTGGGAAGAGCAGCCTGCACATCTGATACCAACCGCCCCGTTGCGGCCGCTAACAGCTACGGCAGCTCTTCCTGGGGAAGGCACAGCACCCTTCTTAGGTTTTCTATGCTGTCCTGTGATACAGCACCTCGTTCTGAGAACCAGAAATCTCGTACATACTAAGGTTTTGCATGAACGTACAGAGACAGAAATGGAAGGATTTTCAGGAACCCAAAATTACGTTTTTGTAACGTGAACTGCTTGAAATCACTAAGTAAAAAAGAGACTTTAAGATGTTAAAACTACAGAGGGCTGCTAGACCAAAGTCTAACTAAAATATCTATCCACACAGATATCAATCTTAACTTTGAAAACTTCTTTACAATTCATATGCCAGATAACTTTAAGAGATGAGTATTCTGGTCCCTACCACTGGAAGGGCATTTTCAAAATAAAACTTGAAAGGACTCCAGTGACACAGCTACAGCCCCAGAGTAGGGCCTATTTGTTTGAGACAGCAGGAGCACAAGAAAAACCCAGCAGTGATACCTGTGTCAACAACTCAGAAACCAAACCCGCAGATTACACCGAAGTCACCAGAAACAACCCAAATGTAGACTCGTTATCACTAGAAGGAATCTCTTTAGTATGTGACAAGTTAACGTGCACCTTCCCTGGCTTCTGAAGCCCTTGCTGTATAGCTAATGCTTCAGCAGGGAGAATCTAGAGCTGTGGAGGTCCCAGCTACAGGGATTAAGAGACAAAAGAAGATGCTCTGACGAAGACCAACACACTGCGCTCAACTGAGCCTTCACGGGGAAGGCTGTGGGGCGTTTTGTTTTTCTCTTTTTCCTTGTTATTTTTTTTTTTTTGAACTCAACCTTTGTGGGAAGCAAAAATAGTAGCTTATAGCCTTATTCTGTTCAATTTATAACTGTTTGCTGGGGTGCCCCCTAGGAACTCCAGCTTTCTACTGGAATCTTTCTTCATAATTACTCATAACAGATCTAAGCTTTGCGCTGTGTTAGGTGCATATGTAGGG